GTCTAAAAATTGATATTTGTAGGTCATAATGAGTGGCGGCAAAACATTGAATATTTAGATCCACGTTTCACAGTCTAGTCTTATTTACCCACGAAATTGTTTCAAATGTGATATTTAAGAAGATTTGGTAGATGACAATCCTTGAAGTATAAAATTGTCTAAAATTGTATAAAATTGCATGGCCCCCACACAAATACCAATTTTTAGACATATTCGTGGGAAAATGTGGCAAAGATCATCAAAATATCGAATATCGGGGGGTACCGCTATATAGGGCTATACAAAAACGAGGACCTATACATACAATGTTTCGCCAAAGGAGCTAGAGCTCTTTAGGACACACAAATACCAATCTTTAGATAAATCCGCGAAGAAAAGGTGCAAAAATCATCAAAATACCGAATACCCAGAGGTACCGTTGTATTGGGACTATACCAAAATGTGGACCGATATGTCTCATTTTCAATACCAACCATCCTAGACACAATACAAATTGTTCTGCTAAATTTTGACGCTCCATCGTGATTTCAACAGACTGACAAATGGACAGACAGACTGATATCGTTAAATCGACTTAGAATTTTATGTTGATTACGCTTACAGGATGAGATAAAAAAACTGCAACAAAGTCAAACGCCATAATTTAAATTTTTTTGTTTTTCAATTTTATTGAATGAAAGCAAAAAAATGTCGGAAAGCGTCAAATTTCAGAATAAGTTTTGATTAGTTCGAATTGGTCACCTTTGGCACGAATTATAGCCTTCAAACGGCCAATGAAACCGTCACACGCTGCCCGAATGTTGGCCCATTTCCGGCTAAGCGCTAACTTGAGGTTATCGACACTTCGGTATTCATTAGTGCCAACCTTGCTTTCCAAAATACTCCAGACACAATAATTCTCACGAGCCATTTTTCGGCCACTGCGACGCGGATTTCGATCAAGTCGCTTCTTTACTTTGGTGTTGCTGTTTTCTTCCGTCCACTTCCTTGACGTCGGGCTACACTATCAGCACGCGGTAACGAGTGATGGTACGAGACACAAAAGATTTATTCACATTGAAATGTTGGAGTGTTCCAACGATAGCCACTTGTGGTTTTCCAGCCAAATATAAAGAAATCACACTATCACGCTTGAATTCCATCACGAATAACTTTTTTTGGAAAATTCTTACCAAAATGCTTTTGAACGCTTGTAAAGGATTTGATGAGCTGTCACTGGAATAATTTTAACAACTGTCGAGTGGCTTAGAAATGACTGCAGTCTGAAGTTGGTTGCAGTTTTTTCATCTCACCCTGTAAATACGAGTGAGTTTGAAAAAAAGTTCTTTTGCTATTTTCTGAAAAAAAATATTCTTTTTCCGATACTATTATGGATTATTGACTGTAGATTGACATTATAAATAAAAAAAATTAAAAAAGTTCCACATCTTGAAAAGCAGCCTCAACAAATTTCAAATATCATAAGAAAATCTAAACCTTTTTCCCACGGTGTCGGCTGCAGTTGTTACTATCTTAAGTTCCAAGTTAAATTTTATTTATCAACATTTCATGGCAGAGAATATCAAAGGCTCAGCCAAACCGAATTTCCGCTTCAGTTCTATTTATATCCCATAAAAATCCAATGCTTTTTCTTTTCAACACCAAAGAGTTTCGGCACTGTTGTGCTAAATAAACTAAAAGCGATAAAAATAAGTGAATCTCTTTTTTAACTCAAAAAGACCGCTTTCTTGGCACAATACTGATATAAAAAATAAAAAAATCCCTTCAAAGAGAGGAAATCTAAGAAATATAATATTACAGCTGACGAAATCTGGGCATTGTGACCACACGTTGTTTATATTCATGTTTTGCCAGTTGGACTACTGATCATATGTGTAAAGGATCTGCCAAAGGTCCAAAGAATAAGTGAAAAAGTATAAGTCGGTTTTGGCCACAGATGTATACCCTCAGTCGATGTCATGAACTTTTGTAGAGAGGTAGTAGAAAAAGTCGATCGACATATCCCATAATTTCATTGAATCAATGGTTGGAGATACTCGTACAGGAAGTGTGAAGGAAATCGCTAACCTGTTTCGAATGTAATGAGACATTTTAATATTAAAAGTGTTGTCCCTTGTAGCCGAGGTAACAGAATCAGTAGGCCAATAAATTCCATACTCACAACAGATCTTGTGTTTGTAAAAATATTGGGGTGTGCAAAGTTTGATAAGGATTGGATGTTCATTTTGTATTTGATGAGGGTGATTGGTATTCAAAGTTTTGGCCCTTTGTGGGGAACGGGTACCAGAAGAAGTGGTCCGATCTATCCCATCTTCATATCAGATGTAAAATTGTTAAAAATATTGGAAATGCGGAGACAATCAGACTCTCCTTTTATATTATAAAAGCGTTGCGATTATTCAAAATGTTGACTCTTTGTGAGAGAGGTACTAGAAAGAGTACCCCGATATTGTCAATTTTAGCACCTTACCAAGCACTGACACAAATATTAAGGATTGCAAAGTTTTAAAGGAAATCGAATAGCTCTTTCTCTTTCTTTGAGTTAAATTTATTTGAAAATTTTGACCATTTGTGGTACCAGAGGTACAACAAGGAGTAGGTCGATATTGCCCACATAGGAACTCGATCTAAGATTGATAATAATACTATGATGTTCCAAGTTTGGTCCAAATTGGATACTCCCTTCGAGAGTTATCGTGCGTACCAGCCAGACAGAAGGACGGGCACCTCTGGATCGATTCCAAATGTCCTGAAACGGATTTGGTTCCAAGAGACCTTATTTCGATGAGGCACGTTTTGATCATATGACTGAGGGTATAAACAATATATGCTGCAGGTCAAGAGCGTGGTAACGTTCACCAAGGATGACAATCCTGGCCATTAAATTCTTAACAACCAAATCTGACCAAAAACTAGGAATCCATGCCAACGCTTTCTAAACAATTTCCGATATTAATTTCTTCTACCTCATATCTATATTTCTTTTTATACCCTACAACACTATGTGTTGGGGGTATTATAAGTTTGATTGGGCCAAAAATTATGTAACACCACGAAATATTGGTTTCCCACATAGGAAAGTATATATGGATCATCCTAGCTCGCCGAGCTGAGTCGATCTAGCTATGTATGTCCGTCCGTCCGTCTGTCCATGTTAATTTGTAATCACTCTACAGGTCGCAATTATGGCCTGATCTTCACGAAATTTGGAATGGAGGTCGGGGTTGGGCCAGAATAGAACCCTATTTCTTTTTGAGATGATCGCCAAATGTTTAGGGGTTGAAATGGACCAAATACTGAAAAAATGTCGGATTTTGCAGTAGCTATACAGGTCGCAATTATAGACCAATCGACGCGGAATTTCGCATGTAGCTAGAGTTTAGGACGGGGAAGAAGCCTACCAATTTGGGTGGTCATCGGATAATATTTAGCGGGTAAAATAGACCATATATTTTGTGTTGAAAAAATTCCAAATTTTTCATTAAACCGCGAATATTTTAAATCCCGGCGAAATCACAAAGCCATGACAAGGTTACTTCTGACCTTTACATTGATGTTAACATCGTACAAATCGGATATATAGCAAAATATGTGCGATACATATGTTTATCAAAGAAGATATGCTTGAAAGATCTCTTATATGTCGAGAACGGCTGAACTGATTTCGACAGTTCTCATTAACTCAGAATGGCCTCTTGGCAGGAAAGAAAAAACGTCTAAAAAAATCGCATAAAAATATCTCTCTAAAGATGAAAATATTGATTTTGTAAAATTTTCTCATATTTTTTCAATTTTGTCATATTTTTGGCATATTTTCATTTTGAATTAAACATTTGGTAATATTTCTACAGCTAACAAAACTAAGTAGTTGTGACATCTGAATATCATATACAGATCCCATTTATGGCCCGATCCTAACGAAATTTTGCATGGGGATAAGATGAGGGTCAGAATAGAAGCCTACTCTTTTTGGAGATGATCGCCATATATTTAGGGGTTGAAATGGACCCAAAAACTGCAAAATTGTCGGCAGGTCGTAATTATCGCCCGATCATCACGCATATTTGAAAGGGGGTTACCGGACATTGCAAAAGCCAAGCAGTTTTGGATGGCCATCCAAAAATATTCAATGTGTGAAGGAGTTTGCCAACTTTTGTAGACAAAATACGAAAATGTCCATTCCAGAGACTTTTTCGAGAATTCACAAATACAGGAAAGACGCACTTCTTCAATGTGTGAAGGAGTTTGCCAACTTTTGTAGACAAAATACGAAAATGTCCATTCCAGAGACTTTTTCGAGAATTCACAAATACAGGAAAGACGCACTTCTGACTATTTCGTTAACGCTGATTTCGTTGAAGAATATAGTCAAATGTCTGTATCTCATATAGATGCGTTTCAGTCAAAAACCAATAATAAATGTTAATCTTTTGCCACTTCTGAGAGATTATAGGTCTTTGGGAAATATTGGTTCCAGTTCTAGGAAGACCATTTACGACATCTACCAATAAATTGGAAATAAGCAAATTCGTTTGAGTTGCTATTATTCGAAAAATAGAGAACGAAACCTGATGGTTTTCTTTTATAATTTGTCACAATATCTTGTGGAATTCTTTCGAGTATCTCGCCTATATAAACTGTATCGTTTATTATAGTGTTGTAGGGTATTTAACGGTCGGCCCCGCTCGACTGTAGCCTTTGCTTACTTGTTTAATTCATTTTCTTGTCTTTTTCTCTCTCGCCTTCATCTTCTTTTGGATGATCCCAAAAATTGAAAGATTTTCGAGGTTTGCATTTCATTTAACTTTTTTTCGAAACTGTCTACCAATAATTTGCCACTTTTAGAGAATGTTATGTCATCCATTTTGATTGGGGATCTCTGTATATATTTTTCCTAAAACTTTTAAAAAATTCCCAAACATTCAAAATTATTACAAATGATTCTTCCTTCCATTTTTCCTTATTAACATGTTCTTTTCGTTGCATGTTTTTCATTTTAGCTGGCTATAGGATCATCGAATCGTTACAATGCAATCGGTTAAACCAAATGAATTGCCGCAAAATCCCTACGAGCGGACGAACATATTGGCACGATTATGTTTTTGGTAAGTTGATTTGGGTTCCATAGGTTCCATTTTATTTAAAGAACATATCCATTTCGTAATTTATACATTTTGATCAATCTATTTGTTGATTTGTAATCAATAATTTTTATATTCCGTTTCGTTTCCATAGGTACACACTGCCAACATTTTTTAAGGGACGTAAAAAAACTCTAGATACCAAAGATCTCTATCGGGCATTAAATGAACACAAATCAGGTAAATAAATAATTCCTTTTTATTTTTGGTGTAAATGTAAATGAATAATTTAAAATATTTTTTCGAATAATGAATATATTTTCGAATAAAAATCCGCATGATTTTAAATAAATAAACAAATAAAATAATATAATTTAATTTTCATATCATATCGGATGTTATATTGGTCAACCGTTTTTTTTTTTTTGGTATACGTTTTTATACAGGGTGAGATAATAAAACTGCAATAAAGTCAAACGTCATAATTTTTACATTTTTGTTTTAATTTTATTGAATGAGAGCAAAAAATGTCGGAAATAACATCAAATTTTAGAATAAGTTTAAATTTGTTCGAATTGGTTACCTTTAGCACGAAGCCGTCACACGCTTCCGAAAGTTGCTCTGCGGCATTTCGGCCCATTTCCGGCGAAGCGCTTGCTTGAGGTGATCGACACTTTGGTATTTTTAGTGCCAACCTTGCTTTCCAAAATACTCCAGACACAATAGACCATCGGATTGGTATCCGAAGATTTTTTTGGGCATTGTGCGCTAGAAATGAAGCGAGGAGCCTCATTTTGTATCCGTTCTTGGGTGGCGCGTGCTGAGTCCCGTTGGAATGTCCAAGGTGTGCGGCCAAAATGTTTGCGTGCCCAAGGCTTTAATACACCCTCCAGAATATTTTCGTGAAAATATTCGGCATTTGTTCTGATGCCACGGTCGATTAATACGAGCGGAGAGCGACCATCGGTTGTTATGGCGGCCCACACCATCACCATGGCCGGTGCTTGAATTCTGGTGGCCAACCGAAGGTGCACATTTTAAGCTGACCTCTTTGGCAAGAAAACACGATCATTTGTTTGTTTACAAACTGCTGGAATTTCAATGGCTTTACCCCGAGCTTATTTTTTAATATTTTCTGAATGGAATATTGCGATATGTTAGCTCACGAGCCATTTTTCGGCCACTTAGATCACTGGGTTTCGATCAAGTCGCTTCTTTACTTTTCGAACCATTTCTGCTGATGCAGTATCATGGTAACGAGCGATAGTACGAGACACAAAAGATGTATTCACATTTAAATGTTGGAGTGCTCTAACGAAATCACACTATCACGCTTAAATTCCATCACGAATAACTTTTTTTTTGGAAAATTCTCACCAAAATACTTTTAATGAACTGTCATTGGAAAAATTTTAACAGCTGTCGGACGAGTGGCTTACGAAGTTGGTTGCAGTTTTTTGATTTCACCCTGTAGGATTATAAAAATACCGAATATCGGTGGGTATCGTTATATGTGCGCTTTTAGCAAACGTTTACCTAAATATTAAACTTTCTGCCACCGAAGCTAGAATCCATTATGAACTACAAATACAAATTTTTTGACAAATCTTTGGAAAAATGTGACAAAAATCATCAAAACTCTGAATATCGGGTGGTACCAGTATATGGGGGGAGGGTATAAAAATACATGGACGGACATGCATAAATCGACCCAGAATGTGATTCTATGGAGATCACTAAAAGGAACTATGAGCCTTCCTCGTTTCCAAAGACTTAATGCGGGATATTACAATGTGACATAGGGTATAAAAATCCAGAACTGATAAATGCAACAGATAGCCACCTGTCATTGTTGATCGATTGCCTTCAACGAAAAATTACTGTACTAAATTGAGTTTTTTTTTTTGCTCGAGAATTTCAATCACTAGAATTGAATCAAATCAATAGGCGATTATTGCAGCAATGCAATATTTAATTGATTTCAATTGATTGTAACGTCATTGTGCCACATTGTGATAGACAAAGCAAAGTAAAAAACAACAACAAATAGATCGAAATTGCGACAATGACAGGGCCGTAGACAAAGAAACAGCGCATGTTTCTGTGAATACAAGTGAATGACTAAACATAAGTCTCTTAATGGAATGTTAGAAAACAGCAAATCAATTGAATTGGAATTGATCGTTTTGGTGATAAGAGAACGCCAATCGTTGACAAAACAATGTCACAACTGTCTGGCTCAGCTTAACCAGAACTGGGTTTCTTCCTCTAGCTTTCCTTTTTCTCATCAAATTTCAGATTATCGAGATCGTTGATTATCTAACGTTTCAAACTTTCCCGGATAGTAGTTCTCTCTACATACTCAAATAGTGTGGCGTATTTCACTGCACCAAATGCAATTTGATAGTTAAGGGCTATCAAGACTGTCCTATTACTCGACTTGTTCTAGTTTAGTGTTCGACTGATATGTGTGGGTATGGCGTAAATTGTGGTACTATGTTTGGACGGAATTCGGGTTTATGGTCGGCAACTGGATAACTTCCTCTGCTGCTGGGGATGAGTAAAGCCTTATGAGTCTGTGCTACTAGCAATGAGCCATCTGGTCCATTTCCAGGCTTCGGGAACGACGTGGGTGGCTAGCGACCGATTGAGAATTTTTGTTGTGTATTAAGTTGTTTAAACATTACCATATACAGCGCACTTCTTCGGATCAGTCATCGTTACGTTCTTAAAAGTTACCGTGGTCCTATCATCCTTTTTACCGGGGTTCGAGAGCGATTTAACTTCTACCCCCAGCTTACTCATATCGGTTCCATTGTTGCAACACTTCAGATGTTTTAGATTATCATGAGATTTGGTCTTATTTCCGGTATTTGAACAGCAGGTATTAGCGAGTGGCTGCAGCTTTGCCAATGTCTCGGAAAATCCGTACTGCTACCCGAACAACAGAAGGGATGAGCAGCTTTCTGAAGCTATATACACCAATAAACGCTGAATTCAGGCCAGTGAGATTTCTCATGGTAAAGGAATTGGCGGCGCTCAGAGGTTATGAAATCGGCGATTTTCTAATGAAGTCGATTATCGGGTGATGGTCTGACGTTATAGTCACGTTATGTATCAGAATGGGTGGCATTATGGTTAAGTTTGGGGAACAGTGACATTCTCCTCTTATTCGTGCGGAATGTGGAGCAGTCAACCTGTCGACCTGCATAAGTAATTTTTTGTCATAGGCTGTAGTACCGATTCCGAACTTCAAATGCGAAATAATTCCGTTGAATAACGTCGCTAATATCATCAAAATACCGAATAAAGGAGGTACCGTTATATGTGGGACATACGATATCGTGGACCTATATAGACAATTCTCTTCCAGTGGGCAAAATGCTCAGAAGGAACCCTTTGTGTGGATTTTCAGACAGTTCCATTGGAAAATGTGGCTAAAATCATGAAAATACCGAATAGCGGGGGGAACCGTTATATGGCGGCTTTACGATATCGTGGACCGATATAGCCCAAATTATATATACTTTATTAGGTCTAAAATAATTATTTCGATGAGTTAACAAAGGGAATGACGAACTTACTATACCCTCCATACTATGCATGGTGGAGTGAAATGAAAAAACATAACTTGGGTGGTGAGGTAGCCGAAGGAGCATTCGAAAGGAATATTCGAACTTGACGAAAGTTTAATGCGAAGTTAACAATGTACCAAGTTAGGATCAAATAAGTAGAAAAGCTGTAAGTTTGGCCGGGCCGAACTTTCAATACCCTCCACCACTTGGAACGAATTTGGCAATTCCTAAAAATCTGTTAAAAAATCTGTTAAAATCTTAAAAATACCGAATGTAGCTGTTATATTAGAGTCCATACGACGACATGGACCTGCATAGGAAACTTTTGTCATAAGCCATTTCAATATTCAAATGCGAAACTTAAAAAAATCGGTAAATAATGTAGCTAAAATCATCAAAATACCGAATATCGGGAGGTACTGTTATACCGACATGGACCTGCACAGACAATCCCCTGTCGTAGGCTGTAGCATCCATTACGAACTTTAAATACCAAATTTGAAACAATTCCGGTGAATAATGTCGCTAAAATCATCAAAATACCGAATATAGGGATGTACCGTTGTATGGAGGCTGTACGAAGACGTGGACCTGCACAGACAATCTCCTGTCATAGGCTGCCATTACGAACATAAAATACGAAATTTGAAAGAATTCCGATGATTATTGTCGGTAAAATGATCAAAATACCGAATTTCGGGAGGTACCGTTATGTGGGGGTTATACCAAAACCTGGACCTATATGGCCCATTTTCAATACCAAAAGTCCTGCAGACATAATATATATTTGATGGTGCTGATCAAGAATATATATACATTGTGGGGTCTAAAATGTATATTTTGAGGTGTTACAAATGGAATGACAAACTTAATATAACCTCCATACTATGGTGGAGGGTATAAAAATGTACAACTACACAAGGCAGAATAAAGCTACCTCCTAAATACAGAATTGCATCTTCCTACTTGATTTGAAGTTGAACAACCTTTCTTATTGAGTCATGGATTTTGATAGTTCGCTTCACGACTATTGTTACCACAAAAGGCAAAATGTCCGTAAGCACAGCAACAATAATTGAGAACTCTTCTGTTCCTCTTAATGCCAATAATTTGTAATATTCTGTATGGCACTTCATTTTTCACTACTTTCGCAAAAAAAGATTTGTTTACATTGATCCTTATAAATAACGAAATCGAAAAATGTTCATCGTTCCCACATGTAACACCATTTTTATGTGTTTACAATTTCTTATTTTTTTTTTTTTCCAAAATGTGATTGGAATTTTTTTGTTCGTCCAGTTCACGCCATGTAAAATTGTTATCTGTGAGGCGAGTTCGTTGATCTGTGGTGTCAATTAAGAAGATGAATTTCGAGAGTGCCATGACATTCGGTTTCATCATTTGCATACATACTGCATATTTTCAAGCAGCTTTTCTTCGTCGTTCATACATATGTATATATGTAAATATGTACTTTATTATAAAATAATATTTTTCGCCTAAAAAAAAGGCAAGTGACTTGACGTAATCTGAGAAAAATATTTATGTCTTCACTTCACTTTTATTGCAGTTATTTCACAACAATTAACGGAGTATGACCCATATTCTTTTAATATTGTTCAATTACTAAAATAGGTGAACTAGATTCGGATCATTTTTTTATTT